AATGGACTATTTTGTGCCAAAAATGAAAAAGAAAAAAATGTATAATCCTTTGGACCAACAAAAAGGTTTTGATCAAATGATGAAAATGTATTAGACCAAACTAGAAGAATATACCAGGAAAATGTAACTTCCATCCCCAAACTATTGCTGCCGCTGGTAATCATCATAAGCTTTTCCTTGGTAGTTGTGCTCAGACCCATTTCTCTCAGAGGTTTCAAATGTTCCGAATTCATTGTTTATAGAAGAATCTCTAATTTCTTTTTCTCTATTCCACTGCTCAATTTTTGCCCTTCTCTCAGCACTGCCCTCCCTTGTCATGCCAGTATACTCATTCTTTCCAGAGTCATGATGTTCTCTCTCCCTATTCCATTGTTCAATCTTTGCCCTTCTCTCGGCACTGCCTTCCCTACCTGGACTCCTATTTCTCCTCCCTGAAGGACTTCGACTTTGTCCACCTCTTCTTCCTGGGCTTCTGCTTCTAGGTCTCCGCCCCCTATCATGGTGACGATGATCACCTCTCCTATGATATCCATGGCTAGTCTGTTCTTCGTGACCACGACGTCCATGTGGGCTACGGCTTCTGCTATGACTGCGTCTTCTCCTGCTCTTTCCAAATAACTGCCGCCTCAGATCTCTTCAAATGCCAATGCAACAAATTAGTCATCACATACCAAAGAGAAGAGCCATGTAAGTTGCAATTGATAGAGAGAAAGAGAAAGGCATACCGGTTTATCTTTTTAAGATGCATGAAGTTGCAGTAGCCACCTCGATTGCATACATTTTCCTCATACTGTCTACAAGTGGCTTCACGAAAGTCAGTTACTGGAGAGAAGTCAACAATAATGGGACGCCCTGTGTATGCAAATGACAAATGGCGAATGGAAAACACAATTAGAGAATAAAAGAATTCTTTTTGTTAAATAACCATAATTGTATCTTACAGCAAACAATAAATACCCTAAGATGCCAAACCTCAAATCATGATTTCTTTTTGTCACATGCTGCACTAATGCCAAGTTATTCTGACACAACATCTGAACAGACCCTTTTAAGGCAAGTATAAAGCAGTACGTTTACACAGATACAAAGCAATATGGGATCTTCTGGGGGAAATATCACCCAGTTTCTAGTGACCAGTGAATGAGAAAGTAGAATTTGGAACAGAAAGAAAAGAATACAAGTGATATAAAAACTGATCAACTACAAGAAAGACCATCACAACTAACCGGCATAAAACCTTCCTGAAAGATTCTGAAGAGCTTTTGCAGCATGATCTTCCTCTCTGAATTGAACATACACGTTACCAACCTAAAGCAAGAAATAAAACACATTAAAAATTGTTTACTTTAAAATTTATTAGAAATATAAACCTTCTAGAATGAGGGCCCTAGACATACCATGTGGTCCGCTAAATTATCACAGATATTGAGATTCTCAATCTCACCGTACTTACTGAGTTCCTCGAACAAATCCTCATAGAAGTCCTGTACGTTTTCATTTTGAAAGAACTTTAGCTATTAAAAGTTGACTTCAAAAAACTCTTGCAGGAAATCAGAATACGAATTCAATAACCTAATACCTAAAACACTCAAATAGAAAAACAACAGTGCGCCAGCTAAAGATTTTGGGCATAAAAATTAACGCACATACCTCGAAGTGGGTCTGGATCTTGCGGGGATCAAGAGGTTGACCTTGGGGATCAACGCCGGGGGTTATCATGTCGGGGCGTTGATACATATTTGAGAGGAGGATGGTG